GGGGGGGGGGGGGGGGGGGGGGGGGGGGGGGGGGGGGGGGGGGGGGGGGGGGGGGGGGGGGGGGGGGGGGGGGGGTTTCTTGGACGGACTTAGGCATCGAATATGAGAATTACATTAGCTTTCACGGTTAAGACGGAACACATCTTTGTCACATGAGCGCGTATTTTAATGTCGTATTTCTTCCGTTTTTCTAGGTTCGGCTTTACTTGACATAGAAAAGGCCTTGAACGTAGTTGAACACGTTGCGTTCAAATATCACCGACGACGTGGACGTCCACTTGTTCTTGTCATCAATAACATCCACGCCTTTGGTGAAGATGAAGAAGGAGTTGATCTGCTGGAAATTCTTCGGCAGCGCGCTGAAGCATGGGCAGCTACCAGACTCGTGACAATGGTTTTCAACACTGATGATTATTCCGTCTACGAGAGATTGAGTACGTATCGCAATTGCTGATTTTCACACATCGACTTTTCACGTGCGAGATTTATGTGGTTCATACGATAATAATACATCCACATCGCTGTAGAAAGAGATGCAGCACGCATGGAAGTCGTCCGAATTGAGGATTTGGAATTAAAAGACGCCGTTAAGTTCCTAAAGGATAAACGACATAACAAGGAACCGGATGAAGTCTACGAACAATATGTTAGGGAACGTGTCGGCGGGCGATTAGCGTTTCTGAATAGATTGGCAAAGGCAAACGATCTTCAAGGTAAAAAGCGTCGTGAAACAATCCGGTCACGGGTACCGCTATTCTCCTTCACCGTATTTTATTGCAATCACTCACGTCCACGGTTATTCTATATTCTTTGTGTTTGCAGTCATGATCAAAATAATAGAACATGAAGAACGAACGTGGATAATAAACACGATAGGTTTGATTCCCGACTTTGAAGAATCCGAATTTGACAACCAGAAATACGCAGCAGCCGCCTGGAAGCTAATTCGCGCTATAGTTGAATCTCCGACAAAGTCAATTCCTTTGAACGAGTGTCGCATCATCACCGGTAACTCGAGCTTCCACAGAAGGCTCGATCACGATAATATAATAGTCATTGACAACGACAATAACGTTACAGCAGATTCCAAGATGTTGATGAATATTTTCGAGGAGATTGTGAATTCTGAAGGATTCGATGATTTGTTGAAAAATGTTATAAGCAGAATAGAAGAAGTAGACAAAGAGCAGAGAACAAGGGAAATAGTATGGAGTAGTAAAAATACTCAGGTCGTTAAATTTGGAATGGATCAAACTAAAGCGAGGAGTATCTTTTGGTAGAAATAGAAAAACTTGTGCGTATTTGTTTATTTATCATAGAATGAGTGCTGATTATCCACATATACAGTGTTTCGTGAAAGCTCTTGAATAGAATTTATAAAGCATTTCAATTAAAGAGTCACCAAACTTAGATGATACGCAAACGCGTTAACGTATACAAGGCGATGGGTTTTTTGTTCACCGAATTTTCATGTGATAAAACGGTAAGTAATGGTTTAAGTTAAAGGATTTTTTTAGCCACGAAATCATCCGCGACTTATAACTCTATGAATAATCACACACTACGATAAGAATCGTGACCTATAAGCAATTGATCACGTGTCCGATATGCGCGCCGTTTTTAATTTTCCGTGTTGATTCTTCAACACTTATTTTGCAGTCAAACCTTCTTGTCTTTTACCAAAACAAAACAAAATAAAATAAAAATAGTAAAGTGTGCAATCTTCGATGGCTGTAATAATAATAATTTTTACATTTCAATATTGTTATGAATTGGTGTGTGATTGGATTATTCAATCCTCCAAAAATCTAAACATCGCTAAAATGGTTCAGCGAATTAATAATATTAATATCAAGCGTAAATCGTTGTTAAAATTTGCTGTATGACAACATACACAAATAATTGTCTTGCAACCGTTGTAGCATCTCGTAAATCATATAAAAATTTTATCTTTGCTTCAAAACCTCTATCGTCAGATATTGGCAAAGCCAAAGTGGCGGTGGCGTGGCCGTGGTTCACGATTAAATTATAATAATTTTGTACCAGAGTGAACCTAATTGATAGTACTTTTGATTATTATTGATATACTGCATTCAATTCTATTGTTACATTCTAATAGATGTCACCGCTTTATGACTTATTTCCTGTTACAGTAACAAATTTAGAATCAAAATTTCACATCAATTAGCTTTGTAACAGTGCAAAAATTATTCTAATGTGCGTAATGAATAAAATTGTCAAAAAAAATAAAATTTTTTTATATACCATTGGTTCTGATAGTTTAAAGTTCAGGCTATTTTGCTCACCTAGAAAGCATTCCACAAAGTACAAATTGTCCCAAAAAATTTTTCCTAATTATTTGTCATTCTGAACTAATTCAAATACAATATAACCCTTCCATCACTAGCCTTGCACTTCAATACTGATTTCAACGCCAATGTTTTTACGCTTCATAGTCGTTGTTATAATTATGGTCAAATAGTATGTAAAACGTTATCACCTTTGACTCCAGTCTAACGCGTTAATGTATTAAGTATAACCACGTAAACAGAAACGCGCAAATAACAATATCAAGCCAATAAAGTTACAGCTGTCGGCGGCGAACAGAATGTATTCAGATACCGAAGCGTTTCATAATGGAAGGCCGTTTACAGAACGAAATTTTTATCTTCGAAAAATAAACCCACGGAAAAAAGCAATTCAACGTTGGATTGACAAGAGAAGAAGAATGTAAATGCAAAATTGACGATAGTGATGATATTATTAATATGTCGCTCGTTTAGTGGATGCCTTGGCAGGCAGGAAGCTCTTACATTGAACTGCTTTCCTTTACGTTTCTTCTCGTTTTCGTTTCCTTCTTGGTTTACCGTTAGTGCTCGTTTATGGTCTGATACCACGTAAATTTTCGTTCCTCGTGATAAATCTCATGGGCAGATTTTATGTAAACTAGTTTCATATTATATTTGCATATAGACATAATTTTATATTACTTCATACTCGT